GCACGAGAATGGCAGACGAAATTCAATGTTCGTAAGTATAAAGTAATGCACACTGAAAAAATAACTCCAACTATACACACAAAAGAAGGGGTCTAAATTAGCTGCTACCACTCAAGTGTAGTGACAGTCAAAAAAGCTAACAGAATATTGGGGCCATTAGGAAAGGGATAGATTAAAAAACCAAAAATGTCTTAATGCCATTGTGTAGATCCACGGTACTCCCAGACTTTGAATACTGCATCAGCACATCTCAGAGAAGAGCTATTGGAACTGTAAAAGGTTCAGAGAAGAGCAACAAAAATAGTAAGAGGCATGGAAGAGCTTCCATCCAGGAACAGCTTGAAGAGATTGGGACTGTTCAGTTTAGAAGAGAGACAACTAAGCGTATTTACAGGTTGGATCTCCTTGGCCCGGTGCCTGACTGGTCCTGAAGGAGAGAATTTGCTGGACCAGAGGAGGTTTCCTGCCAACGGCTCCCGGGGCTGCCCCAGCAGGCACTCCTGCCTCGCCTCCCCCCACAACCCAGCCTAGCTGGGCTGCTTGCCCAGCTGCTGCCAGCTCCTTGGGCAGCAGAGGCTCCAATTCCTGCCATGGGGCTCCAGCCCTGTGCATCCAGGGGCAGCCACAGGGCTCCAGCCCCATGTTCCAAGAAGCTGCAGGAGGACTCTGGTCCTGTGCTGCTGAGGGGCTCCAACCTCAGCCCCGAGCTCCTGGGGGCTGCCGCGGGGCTCCAGCCTAGCACCAATCGGTGCTGCTGGGGGACTCCTGTTCAGTGCCTGCCCCTCCTGGTATAATTCTCTGCTACTTGGTGCCACATCCTAGACTTCATTAGCATTATTCTGGATTTAAACCAGCTCCACTGAGATAGTCCTGGGGGGTCTTCTGCAATTGTTGCATTTGGAGCCCTGGTAAAATTGCCAAATTCCCCCAGGACTGAGAGTACAACTTGGCCCTATGTGTGCCAGTGGGATATGTGCAGATTGCACTTGCGAACACCCTGTTTGCATGCTGTGGGCATGTCAGGACAGAGGGCAGGAGGGAAGTCTAGGTGAGATCACAAAAGCACGTCAGTGAGAGGAATGGGAGAAGATTTTAAGGCACATGGGGCACAAGGCGAAGGCAGGGTGGAGAGGCAATGGCGCTTGTGAGACGATGGAGATGGGGAGCCCGTATGGGAAAAGCCTGTGACTGCGTGTGGCAGAATCCCAGCTACATGGAGGGGGGAGCCACAAACAGCAACAGCCCTGAAGAGACACTGGCAGAAGAGTGCAGCAGCAGACACCTGATTGTCAGTGAATCACGAGCCCAGCTTGAATTCCGGGTCCAAGGATGCACTTGTCAAAGGTAAAATAACGTCTGGACTTGTAAACTGCGTTCAATAAGCCATGCTGATCCCGAGTCCTTGCGGGACAATAAGGATGGGGCCTTTTGGTGCCATTTCCAGTCTCTCTCCAGAGGAGAGTTGTGCTTTAAGAGTAGTCCTTGCAGCAGAGCTGGATTACGTGGTATCAGTGTTTCACGAATGCTTGAAGGTCAAGTGCACAGACATATGTCGCTTCATCCGGTGTCTGTAATTGAATCCCTGCACAGTCTCCCACTTCTGACCTTTAAATTATTGAAGAGAATAATGGACTAAGCCACTGGAGGTGGGGGGAAGGTGAGGAAGAAGGAAAGCAGGAGAGAGCCCACATGACAGAGAGCAGAGCAGCAGGGAGAAAGTGTGGCGGAGAAAGACAGCGACATGGGCGGGAGCAAAGAGAGGCTGTGATTTGGCCATGCGTGGTATGATCCATTAGGACGTCTCCCCTCCTGCTCCAAGCCAAAGTACTTGGACTCCACAGGAAGCAGTAAAGTCCATCCCTCAACCACAAACAAGTCACTGTGCTAATATTCCTTGCGCCCGGCACCCCCTCACTCACACACCCACAGCCGCGATTCCATCTGCCTGGGCTTTGGGGACCACTGGATCCCCACAGGCCCCTTCCACACACAACCATGCCCCCATGCTGCCCTGTTTAGTACTGGTGTGGATCCCCCTCCATGGTGCGAAGGAGGGGCAGATAAAACCTTTGCGGTGTCCTCTCCAAACTACACACAGCCCCACTGGTGTGTAAGTGGTTCAGAGGGCTTCCTTGGTGCTCGTGAACAGATAGGTTGTGTTAGAACAGAATGGGCTCGACAATCACTTAAGCCTGGACCCTAAGTAGGCGTGAAGCATGCCCTGTGTGACATGGTTGCTGGGCTGTAACGTGTGGTATAACAATCGATTCTAGCAGCAGCCCCTCACCAGCAACAGCTCATGCAGCCGAATGCCATGGGCTTTATAAAAGAATGAAGGGCGTAGCATGTCCTCCACCCACGTGTATGCCCATCACATCTGTAAAGGGCCCAGTAACTGAGAGCGATAATGTTGGTCCTGGAGGCACGGAGGCTAATCCCTGTGAACCGCAACTAGATGGACTCCTACCCTCTGCCCTGAGGGCTGCAGTTGATTTCTGTCTCCTTTCCAGACCCTCTTGGTTGTTTGGAATCAGAACCACCAAGCCATAATTATCTCAAGTGAATTACTTTGCCATACAAGGCCTTCTACAGGCTATTCACTGGCTGAGCATCTTAGTCACAGGTAACTGGCAGAACAGAGTGCCTGAGAATTAGACACTGTGGGTCAAATTCAGTTCATTAAAGTAATGCCATTCCACTGAGGCCCAATGGATTTGGGCTGGGCCTCTTGGTGTTTATGTCTGCGTCTCTGACGATGACAGGTCTTTGACAGCAGCCCTTCCTGATGCTGACATTGCATCCCATGCATGCTCAATGCCTGGTCCTCAGAGGTCCTGGCACTCCTAAGACAGCAGGTTCACAGTCCCCATATGCCTCTCAGGTCACAAGTTACGACTGTTCTACAGGAAAGAGACAATCATCTTGGAGAGGATGGTAAGCCCCATCGAGGCTCCTTGTGCAGTGCACTGGGATGCACTCTTCAAGAAGATTATTGTCCTACAGTAGAGGACTCAGAAAGAAGTAAGGGTGATACTATGTCTGAAGGAGCTAATGGTCCCATCCTGCGAGGTGCTGACCACCCTCAGTTTTCTCACTGTTTCCCAGGGAACCATTCAGCAGCTGATTTTGAGCAGAGCGGTGCAGGAACCAGACTTTCCATTTCATGGCGTGAAAAATCAACAGGTTTCATTTAAAAAAATGATCAAATGGAATGTTCCAACGTTTTGACATGGTCCCATCGAGAGCAGCGATTTCAACTAATCTGCATTTTCCAATGGAAAAAATATGCTGTCCAAACATTGTCTACCAGTTGTAGCTGTAAACACTGGGGCAGAGGTGGCCAACCCATGGCTCACGAGCCGCATGTGGCTCTTCAAAGGAAAAATTGCGGCTCCTGCACCTGCGGCTCTGCTCCCGCATCCATGGCTGTTCTGTGTTCCCCTGCTCTGACCTTTTTTCCATGTCTGGTAAGGGTGCAGCTTGGGGCAGCAAGATATGGCACTGTGACCCTTACTCCTCATACAATGAGGATTACAGGAGTCGGAGTAAGAAGTTCCCCAGCTTGACAGTATTTTGACACTATTTCAAAATAACTGCCTGCTGTGTAGATGCAGACTAAGGGTACGTCTACACTACATGGCTCCATCGACGGAGCCATGTAGATTTGTTTATTGGGCAAAGGGAAATGAAGCGGCGATTTAAATAATCGCTGCTTCATTTAAATTTACATGGCTGCCGCGCTGAGCCGACAAACAGCTGATCAGCTGTTTGTCGGCTCAGCGCGGCAGCCATGTAAATTTAAATGAAGCAGCGATTATTTAAATCGCCGCTTCATTTCCCTTTGCCCAATAAACAAATCTACATGGCTCCGTCGATGGAGCCATGTAGTGTAGACGTACCCTTAGTCTGCATCTACACAGCAGGCAGTTATTTTGAAATAGTGTCAAAATACTGTCAAGCTGGGGAACTTCTTACTCCGACTCCTGTAATCCTCATTGTATGAGGAGTAAGGGAAGTCAGAGGAAGAGGGATCTGTTTCAGACTAAGTGCTGTGTAGATGCTCCCTATTTCAAAATAAGATGCACAATTGATGTAGCTCAGTTTGCGTAGCGTATTTCAATTTCAGCCTTGCAGTGTAGACGCACCCTTGGAGTAAATGGGGAGGGAATACATATAAAAAGGCTTTGCACAAGAGGGAGTAAAGAGCTGGAGTAAAGCTCCAGAAAAAGGCAAAGGAAGTAAAGAGCATACAGGAGCCTGAGGCTACATCTACACTGCGGGATTTTTGCGGAAGAGGGTATGCAAATTGTGTGCTCATTTGCCTATCTTGAGCTCTCATTTGCATATCTTCTTCCCATCCTTTTTGTGTGTAGACAGGGCCATTTGTCAAGGAAAAAAACCTTTTGCACAAGATCCTGTAAACCTCATTTTTTGAGGAATAAGGGATCTTGCGCAAAAGGGTTTTTTCCTGACAAACGGCCCTGTCTACACGAGGCTTTTTATCGGCAAAACCTCTTCTGCAAAAAGGATCAAAAACAGATATGCAAATGAGAGTACAGTGTATGCAAATGAGTGTGTCATTTGCATACCATCTTCTGCAAAAAACCTGCCGTGTAGACATAGCCTGAGTGACACCTGACTTTGCTTCCAGAGAAATCAATGTAATGGATCATAAGCTGGTAGATCCTCTCCCATTCTTCAAGGAAGAGTTCTGCTGTCTCCTGGGCACACCACGGAGCCCATCTGCTTCAGCAGCCTATGGCGGAGGGGTGCAGTCACTGAAGGTAACATGCAGTCACATGCCACATGATGCACAGTAGCACGTGGGAAAGAGGTGCTGCTGCTGTGGGTGATTCAATCTGTATCTCGTGTGAACTCATGGTTTTAAATGTACCCCAGTGCTGCCTGTCGGGGTGCAGTTTGCCTAAGACTGAGATAGAAAGAATTACACATCCCACCGCTCACGAGTGGTAGGCAGCTCTGGGAAAGAGACAACTTACTGCGGATCTCAGCTGTGGCATACTTTGGAATCATGGAGTCCGTGGTGAGCTCGGGATGAAGGATACAGCCGTGCGTGTAGGCGTCCATAGGCAGGGAGTCCAGGAGCTCTCTGTACTGCACCACTCGTGCGTGAAGAACGCTCCCGGCTTCGGGGATCAGCTGCGTAACATTTTCTGAAATGCGGAACAAAACATGGGCATGGGTTATAGCTATGCTACAGCAACCTGTTCCCATGTGACTAGATTGTCCCCAGGCCACTGGGATGATCAGAGATCAGCTTGTGGGGGGCCCATTACTTCCTGTTTTCGACACTGCCTTGGCTGTGTCTAGACTGGCCAGTTTTTCCGGAAATCAGCCGTTTTTCCGGAAAAACTTGCCAGCTGTCTACACTGGCCACTTGAATTTCCGCAAAAGCACTGACTTCCTACTGTAAGAAATCAGTGCTTTTTGCGGAAATACTATGCTACTCCCGTTCGGGCAAAAGTCCCTTTTGTTTAGCTTGTGCCCCTTGTGTTTAGCTTGTGCTAGTTCTGATAAGACCTAGAACCTGGAGGGGTGGGACTTCAGGTGAAATGAACCCCAGGTCTAAGCCTTCCTGGGTTTGGTTTTACTGGTCCCTCTTGTCAGGGCCATTCTTACTCAGAATACACATATAAAAATTTGGGACACCACTGGGTCTTACTGTCCTCCCACCCACCTCTTCCTATCCTTGGTCCATGGCTCTGCTCCCTCTGTAGAGAATCTAGTTAACTTAAAAGAGGCAAAGCCTGCCAGATCTATTAGCAGGACAGCAAACCTGGGAAAGAGATGTTCAAGTGGCAATGAAGCCATTTAACAGGCATGTGCCAACCCCAGTCTATACCATCCGTTTCTGAATTTACTGTGTTAGTTGACAGGATTTGAGATTAAATTTTTTTTTAAATATTTCATTAGTGTGTTGCTGAAGATTATAAAATCACAGCTCTAAAAAATCATCATTCCCCCTCCTCCCAGCTGCCATCAGGCATAGGGGCACCAGTTTAATAGTACTGCGTAGGGCCCCGTAAATCCTAAGATGGTTCGGCTTCTTGTGCACTGGTTGACTAGGTTGATCATGTACATAATGCCTTTTGAAGAGAGACTGGACTTTTCATCTTAGCAAAGAGAAGACTTAGGATATGTCTATACTACCACCCTAGTTCGAACTAAAGTGGTTAATGTAGGCAACCGGAGTTGCAAATGAAGCCCGGGATTTGAATTTCCCGGGCTTCATTTGCATATTGCCAGGCGCCGCCATTTTTAAATATCCGCTAGTTCGGACTCCGTGCCTGCGGCTACATGCGGCTTGAACTAGGTAGTTCGGATTAGGAAGTGTAGACATACCCTTAAGGGGGATATGATAGAGGTCTATAAAATCATGACTTGCATGGAAAAAGTGAATAAGGAAAAGTTATTTACTTATTCCCGAAATAAAAGAATTAGGGATCACCAAATGAAATTAATAGGCAGAAGGTTTAAAACAAACAAAAGGAAGTTTTTCTTCACTCAGCTCACAGTCAACCTGTGGAACTCCTTGCCAAATGATGCAGTGAAGGCTAGAACTTTAACAGGGTTCAAAAAAGAGCTAGATAGATTCATGGAGGTTAGGTCCATCATAGAATACTAGGACTAGAAGGGACCTTGAGAGGTCATCGAGTCCAGTCCCCTGCCCTCATGGCAGGACCAATAGACCATCCCTGATAGATTCCACAACCTCCCTGGGCAATCTTTTCCCAGGTTTTACCACCCTGACAGTTAGGAACTTTTTCCTAATGTCCAACCTAAACCTCCCTTGCTGCAGTTTAAGCCCATTGCTTCTTGCTCTATCCTCAGAGGCCAAGATGAACAAGTTTTCTCCCTCCTCCTCACGACACCCTTTTAGATACCTGAAAACTGCTATCATGTCCCCCCTCAATCTTCTCTTTTCCAAACTAAACAAACCCAATTATTTCAGCCTTCCTTCATAGGTCATATTCTCTAGACCTTTAATCATCTTGTTGCTCTTCTCTGGACCCTCTCCAATTTCTCCACAACTTTCTTGAAAAGCGGTGCCCAGAACTGGACACAATACTCCAACTGAGGCCTAACCAGCACAGAGTAGAGTGAAAGAATGACTTCTCGTGTCTTGCTCACAACACACCTGTTAATGCATCCCAGAATCATGTTTGCTTTTTTTAACAGCATCTCATATTTAGCTTGTGGTCCACTATAATCCCTAGATCCCTTTCTGCCGTACGCCTTCCTAGACAGTCGTTTCCCATTCTGTATGTGTGAAACTGATTGTTCCTTCCTAAGTGGAGCACTTTGCATTTGTCTTTATTAAACTTCATCCTGTTTACCTCAGACCATTTCTCTAATTTGTCCAGATGATTTTGAATTATGACCCTATCCTCCAAAGCAGTCACAACCCCTCCCAGGTTGGTATCATCTGCAAACTTAATAAACATACTTTCTATGCCAATATCTAAATTGTTGATGAAGATATTGAACAGAGCCGGTCCCAGAACAGACCCCTGCGGAACCCCACTTGTTATACCTTCCCAGCAGGATTAAGAACCATTAATGGCTATTAGCCAGGATAGGTAGGAATGGTATCCTACCTCTGTGTCTCTGCAGGTGGGTGACAGGGGAGGGATCGTGTGAGGATTACATGTTGTGTTCCCCTCTTCTGGAGCCAGTATGGGTAAGGAATGGTGTCCCCAGCCTCTGTTTGTTAGAGGATGGAGATGGATGGCAGGAGAGAGATCGCTTGATCATTCCCTGTTCGGTTCACTGCCTCTGGAGCATCTGGTATTGGCTACTGTCGGCAGACAGGATACTGGGCTGGATGGACCTTTGGTCTGACCCAGTATGACTGTTCTTATGTTCTTACACTCTTATGTTCCTCCCACACCCACTGAATGTAAATATTCAGGACTGGGTCTCACAGCTAGTCTCCTAAGGTATGTCTACACTAGGAAATGATTTCAAAACAACTTATTTCAAAATAATAACTCTCAAAATAACTATTTTGAAATAGCACATGCACACTACAGGGAAGCCTGGAAATTAGTCCGAAGTAGGCTCTCCTAATGTGGATGTGCTTCCTTGATTTAGAGCCTCAGCACACATTGGGGAGTAATTACTTTGAATGGCCTGAGGGAGGAGCTATTTTGAAATAGCAGCAGTGGAGCGTCCACACGACAGCTATTCCGAAATAGCTATTTTGGAAGAGGCGTTATTCCTCGTGGAATGAGGTTTACAAATGCTGAAATAAGACTCCTGTTATTTTTAAATTATTTCGAAATAACGGGTTAGCTGTGTAGACGCTCGCGTAGTTATTTGGGAATAACGGACGTTATTCCAAAATAACGCTGCTGTGTAGACGCACTCTCTCTGTCTCTCTAGACATCAGGTGCTGAGTTCTGTTCCCAGCAAAGCAAACTGACATCCAACCTCTGTACCCAGAATTGATGGCATTTTCTAAATCCTGTGTCTATGGAGCTCTAGGGCAACAGAACTATTTTATGCTACTCTTTATTCCAAGTCTCTTGGCCAATCAGCGCACACAGCTACTGCAGCCCTCCATAGACCAGATTCACCACATCTGCTGTAGCCCCATTCTGATTCCTGTACGCCGACTGGGGCACTGCCAAGCACCCACAAGCGAAACACTTAATCATAAGAGCAATACTTAGTACTTACATTGCACTTCATCCCTTCATAGTTCTGCTCCAATATTAACTACTTAAAGGTCAGCCTTGACTGCCTTACGCACTGTGTAATCAACCCACACTCACATTTGTGGGTGTGCTCTCTCTTCCTGACAACTGTTCAGTTCCTTCTGTCCTTGCCAAAAAGGGTAAGTTAGTGGCCTCATTTTCAAAGCCATATCTGGCATGTAATTACTGTGAGTTCACATGCAAATCGGATGCAAAGAGACCCTTCTGATCATCTTCAAGCAGTCACTATAATTATGCACACAAATGTGGCAGATTGGCGCATATGCATCTTTGCTAACAGCTCTTGCCTGCGGAGTCGCTAGGAAAAAAGGTTCACAATGTTTGAAAGCTCCTTTCTTTTGAGTACAGCACCAGATTCCTTGATATCAGTAAACGTTCATCTTTACATCCCTTTGAGGTAGGAAGTGTTCCCCAGCCAAGGCCCAGATAGATTAAGGCTGGGATTTCCAAAAATGCATCATGGAGATAGGCACCTCTTGAATTAATGGGAGTTGGGTACCTAATTCTCTCAGACATCTTTAAAAATTTCAGCCTGAGTGACTGGACTGAGATCCCACAGAAGGACTGGAATGCAGCGAGGAATTGCATCCGAATCTCTTCAGACCCTTTAACCCCAAGGTCACCTCTTGTCACTAGTGAGGATATATAGCCTCTAAGCCTGTTTTGAATCCTTTAGCATCTGTTTCAATAGTTGGTGTTTGTAGGCATATTTCCCCTGGTTCGTTCCACACTGCTTGTATGAGCTATAGGGGCCAGTTTGTAGCATTGTTTTTATGAGACTCACAGCAGAAAATACAGAGGGATGACAGGGATTGAGGAAACACGATTTTTATGAGAATATCCGGGCCATGCTTATGGATTTTATAGATTGCTTGTAATGGCAGACGAGTTAATTTACCATAGAGGCTCAGTCAGCCATACTGCCTGCCTGCTTCTCACATCCTGAGCTTCAAGGAACCTCTTCCTGAGGTGGAATAAAGAAATTAGACTTCTAGGGGCACATTTTGTAGACATTGGCTCATATTGCACCTTAATTGGGGACCCGAGCTGACAGCCCTTCCAGTGATGTGCAGCCTCCTCTCATGTCAATAGGACTTACTCACAGGAGTGCTGCAGGATCTGACTGAACTGTGTTTTCACTGACAAGGTACAGTTTGCCACAGAGCAGCTGCCCATACCCACAGAGTAACCCTTCATTTGGACATACTACTAGTGAATCGACAGCGCTGGCTTCAGTGTTGCAAACCTTAATACTCCTACTTCCAGGAGGTTCAAGAGTGAAGTAAAGGTCTGGGACTGGGCCTGCCTTTTCCTGACTGTGCCATCTGAATGGCTTTGTGCCACTAACACAGGGTGTTGAATGTGTAAGAGGATTTTGTAGATGCTACCTAGGTTGTGGGTTTTTGTTATTTTTCTCAACCAAATTTGCCACGTTTGGGATTTTTGTTGAAAGCATCTCGCAACCCTATGTGCAGAACCTAGTTAAACCTCATCACCTCCCCTGAGGTGAGGCAGTAAAGTGCTATCAGCAGCAATGGAAGGGCTTGTCCCGGGATGAACTGATGGGAGCCAAGCGAGGCGTCTCCATTGCCACTATCTGGGATTCTATCAAACTAAAAGCCTGAATTTTCTAGACTGAGAGATTGGTGCAGCTTCTAAATATCACATTTGAGCCAATGTCCCTCATGGGGCTGCTAGTTTGCCGTTCCCCTTCATGCCGCCCCGTCATCAAGTACAAGGGCCTGGATCCCAGCCACAAAGTGGGACTTTTCATTTGAGAACAGCCACCGATGGAATGAAGTAATACTAATACAGAATCCCTAGAGTGCATGCTGCTTCTGCTTGGCTCCCGGCCAGCTTCTGATCAGGCCACCCCAAGGCTTCCTGGGCTGGAGCCCAACGCATTCAGAGTAGCCAGCCCTTTAGGCAAAGCTATTCTGTGACCATGCTGAAATGCAGCCGCTCTGGCAGCGGACTCCTTCCCTTCAGCTGATCAGAGGCATTAGCTCACTGGAACGGCACCTGTTCTCCCTGCTGCTTGCTGAACAAATGCCACCTCTTTGAGCTGGTAGCTGCTGACGCCATGTTATGTGGTGGCCTCCTGGGGTATTGCTGGTAAGCAACCTAGGCTCTGCTCCAAGCCTTTTGACAAAACAAAGCCTTGTCAATATTTATCTTCAGTATTAAGAACACTTCCAGAGAACGTGTTCCAGAGAACGGTCTCCAGCAGATCAGGGGCACCGGGAGCAGCTTTTCTCGCCCCGGAGGTCGAGGTGGCGGATCGCTGCCTGCGAGCTCCGGGGCGAGAAAGCCACGTTCGTAAGTGCGGATCCGACGTAAGTTGGATCCGCGTAAGTCGGGGACTGCCTGTACAATGAAAGAAAGCAAAAATCAGTGTCAAAATTTTGAAATTTGAGTGGAAAAATTTCATGGCACATTTTTGGGGTTTTTATTTCATTAAAAAGTTAGTGCAAACTTTTGAAGGGTTCATCAAAATAAGATTTGGTTGTTAGTTTCCAAAAGGAGAGAACAATTCAGTTTTGGTCCGTTTGTCCGTATGTCCTTCCTTCCTTCCAAAAGCCAGAAATTTGGCCGAAAAATTTCTATGAAAATGAAGCATTTTTGCGTTGCCAGAACTTTTCAAGGGGGTGGGAGAAAGATTCCAAATCTAGCACAGCTCCTTGGACAGGTGGTGGTGGTTTTTATTACAGTGGCTGCAGTGGTGAGGCACCTTACACATCAAGTGGAAGATTTACAGAGACATAAAAGCTAAAACTAGCACTTGCAAACTAGGTAGTGGTGGGGAAAGGCAATGCCTGTGCAGCCTCAGCCCACAAAGGTGCTTTCATTCTGAAAAGCCAGGTTGGTAATATCACCAGAGTTGAAGGAAAAGTGCTTGCTCACTCACTCCTCCTCGCCCTTGCCTGAGGCATCCAGAAGACAGAGCTGTAATTTTCCTCACTCTAGAACTGTTCCATATCACTGGCTTGGCCAATGCCTTTTGCTGGTGACAGGAAGCCATCACATGTGCATCTTCTTCCTTCATTTATATGTGTGCAGGAACATAGGAACATTTTAAAGCAGGGCTACTCGACACTGGAAGCGCCGGGGGCCACAATGATACTCACAGTACATGCCAAGGGCCGCAACTTAAGTGTCGTTGCATATGCACGCAAATATATGCAAACAGGTTCTTTCACAAGGACAGGCATGAATACAAAGATTAAGGCAAGACGACACAACACACAGGCCCCATTTAAGTCAGTTCTGCTGATATTAATAAAATGCAACATTTACCCGATTTCCACCCATACAACAGCACTTTTAATGAGCAATGAAAGGCCAGGAATTTAACTACTAAAACTATATTAACAGAAGACCGTTATATTGACTATTTTTTTGTTTTGGCTCCCACCTATGGGCCATGTGCTGAACTCCGCGTAAACCCCAGCCACACCGTGAGCCACAAACAAACGGGCCATGGGCTGCATGAGGCCCACAGGCTGCGTGTTGAGTAGCCCTATTTTAAAGGGTGTGGGAGCTGAAAACCAGCTTGCTTGCCACTGTCCACCTCCCACCCCCAGCTTAGGCCAGGAGCAAAGCCCAGGTGTGTGGGACTTGCCATCAGGACCCCAAGCACAGGGCTGGCAGCAGAGCCCCCAGCATGCAGAGCAGCAGCTGGGAGCCTAGGGGTGCTGGAGCATACACATACACACCCCACACTCTAGTTCCCGTGCCTATGTGTGTGTCTATCCCTAATGGAGGCAATGTCCCATGCGTAAAGGGGGGTTGACTGGGGACTATAAATTAGTGGAGCTGAATTGAGAGAACAGAATATGACTTGCTGAGCCGAGTACCTGAAAAGAAACAAACTGAACATAGACTAGGTCCTGGCCTGCTCCGAGAGCAGAAACCTCTGGGAAGCAATGAGGCTTGGTGGCTGGAGCTCCTGGGCTTTGTTTAACACATGGTTATTGAAATGTTGGGGATGAAGCAGAGACCAGCTTGTTCAACAAAGCTAAAAAAAGAAGCCTCTGATTGAGCTTCTCTGAGCAGTGAGGGGCGGGAGCGGGAGCGCTGGAGTCGAGGAGCAGTATGGGGGGGGAGCGCTGGAGTTGAGGAGCGTGAGGGGAGGGAGCGATGGAGTCGAGGAGCAGTGAGGGGAGGGAGCGCTAGAGTCAAGGAACAGTGAGGGGAGGGATAGCTGGAGTCAAGGAGCTGTATGGGGAGGGAGCGCCGGAGTCGAGGTGCAGCGAGGGGAGGGAGTGCTGGAGTCGAGGAGAGGAAGCTGATCTGCCAAGTCTCCCCTGTTTTGGAATCTATTTTAAGATGGTTTTAAACTCTCTCCATTCCTAACGTGACAGGCTTTGCGATGAGTCTCATGATGACACAGTTAAAACTCTCTCCTAAGCCTCTGAAGTCTCCCCACTTGTTCCTCCCCGTCTGATAGCCCTGAACTGGCCAGTTCTGCTCTAATGAAGGGAGCTCAGGAAAGCACTGGAGAGCCATTGCCTCCGCAGAGAAAGCGGGACCCTTTCTCAGGGCACCTCTAGGGTGAGGCGCCAGGGCAGGGGAGTTCCCTGTGCCACTGACAGATCTGCATCTGCTTTGGATAAATAAAGGGATGCCTTCCCCAGGGCTGGCAATTCCATGCTGCTCCTTAGCACTGCGTTCATGTAGCCCAAATATTAATGCCTCCCCTACCGCCCTCTGTTACACCTGCCATCCCCTTTTGTTTCCTCTGAACTGGCCATTTACCAACCTGTCCTCCAACTGCAGTCACTCACCAGCCTCGCCCCAGTGCACTAAAAGCCTCACAGAGTCCTTCCCAGGCACACCTAAGGGAGAGACAGGTCAGAGCCTGGTGCTACTGGCCAGGGCACTAGAGCAAGCTGCTTTTAGTTGGCTATGAAACTGCTAGATCAGTCCATGCAACATACCGCCAGGTGGCAAAATTCTGCAGGATTATTAGGTCTAAACAGAGGCTGAATGAAAACCACAACTCACATTGATTTTGCCAAACTTTACTGGACACGGCTGGTTCAGAGCCAGGCCTCTTTTTATCTACACTCGTAAAGGCTGTTGTGGGAAAGTGGAATAAGTGATTCCAGTTTTAACCCGTCTCTGCACATGACCCCTCAGAATGAGGATACATAGAAATAATTGAGTTGTCACAGCTGGGGATGGGTGAAGGGTCCTGAAGCGCTACCCAAAATTCAAAGCAGAGATGAAAATGGTAGTCTTGCCGGGGAGCCTGGCTCATAAAGGAGAAGGGGGAGATGAGAGGCATGAACTACATAATGCTTTGTGGCAGTGCAGCAAGAGAACACACCACGGTGCATCTCTTGCTGGGCTGCTGCAATGCATTATTGGAGTCACCCTTGACTGTGGTCCATCATGGGAGATGTAGTCCAGTTGTGGAGCCTGGCTCATAACGGAGAATGGGGACAAAGGGGGCATGAACTACAGCTCCCATGAGGCACTGTGGTGACGTTTCCAGGTTGAAACGCTTGGTTTTCGGTTGTAAGTTTTCAGTTTAGGCTGAAACCATTTTGGTTTTGGAATGTCTGGTGACCAGAGAAAAGCTGGCATTTTCCATCAAGAGCGGACACTTTTCACCAACCATGTCCAAAACCCACTTTTCTAACAAAGCCCTTTTTTGATGATGGATTTTGTTTCACCCCTCATTACCTCCTGTGAAGTTCTTCTCTATATAGTCGATGATCTGGTTGTAGTCGCTGATGATGTTGTCTCCATGGATAATCACGGGCACCTCCTCCCCTAAGTTGAGACGCATGAACCAAGGCTCTTTGTGCTCCGTCAGGGGCATGCTGACATCCCGCTCCTCACACGGCAGCCCCTTCTCAGCGATGACCAGGCGGACCTAGAGCAGGAAGGAAAAGCAGAGAAGTCTCATTGCTGCCCACTGGGCTCTACATATCGTCTCCTATATCCACAGAGTCTAGAGGACAGTGATGCTCAACCATCTGTGGTTCTATGGGGTCCTGTGCTGCCTTGTAGAGTTCTCAGGGCTGCTTGGAGCTCCTTTTACCAACAGGCCTGGGATTATTCCCTAGGTCACCTGACATATATTATGTAGTAGGACATCAGGAGGAGGCCTGAGCCCAACATCCCAGCTTCTGGCATCTCTCCCAGCAGCTACGGAGGAGGTAAAAGGCCAAGGAGATATTTTATTACTGAGAGAGCCACAGAAGCTTTTTATTATGTGTATTATCTTAATTTCTAGGACCACCAATAAGGGAGCAGGGCCTGGTTGTGCTGGGCACTATACACCACAGAATAAGCAGACCGTCCGTCCCCAAAAAGCTTCCAGACGAAGCATAAGGCCAGAAAATGGATGAACACAGACTAACGGGGGAACATAAGGAAACAATGAGACCATATTGATCAGTATGGTAGGCAGTGGTCTCGGCACCCCAGCAGCCTGGCCATTGTCAAGGGTTTTGTAGGACTGGTGGGGCAGGAGAGCTGCGAGGTGGATAAGAAGTTGGTTCTGTGGAGGTTTATGGGGGAGCTACTCCCTGGCATGAGGGGCAGGTGGGAGAAAGTGCAAAGATGCTTGTTTGAAAAGGTAACAGGTGTGTGATGGCAGCTAGCATCGTGGGCAGATCAGAGACAGGATTCGTCTCAGCCTGGGGTCCCTGTTGTGCCATTATGTTTCATCACAATGACTCAGTGATGCCCCACAGTACACAGCTTGCAAACCTATGTCAGGTGATGTCGGACACCTCCCTTACAAATCACCGAGGCTCTTGGCACTCACTAGCTTTCTCTATCCCTCCATGCTGTGAGAGAGCCTTGTACGCCACTGCCCTGTGAGATAGTCCCCATCCATCTCTCCACCTCAACTCTGCATCGCTGTCCTCCTTTTCCTCTGCCCACCCTGACTCTGATTTATCCCTCGGAAGTATTTTGGGTGATTGCTTTGTATGAAGATGCTGTACAGCATAAAGGTCCCTCTTAGACTGTATCTTCTCCCTTTCCCTTCGCATGGCCCTCATTGCTAGAGGCATTTTGCATGATAGAAGGATCTGGCTTCTTGAGTGCTCCAGCTACATGAGTAGAGCAGGAAACTGGGAGCCAAGACTACTGAGTTTGGATGCTTTTAAGTTTTCTTCCAAGTCTTTGATAAAAATGTTAAATAGAATAGGACCAAAAAAATGGATCCCTGTGAAACCTCACTGGAAACACACCCGCTGGGTTACAGTTCCCTGTTGACAATTATATTTTGAGGCCTCTCAGTTGGCTCTTTTAAATCCATTTATTGTGTGCCAGGTTATTTTTGTATTCTGTTTTTTTCAGCAAAATGTCGTGCGTTTGTGGGTGTTTGTGAGTCTGGCTATTTGAGTGTGTGCGTGTGTGTGCGTAACAGGGCTTGTCTCTGTGAGTGCGCACATTTCTTTGTGCGTCTCTGTGAGGATGGCAGATTCCGTGTGTCTTGACACAAAGCATCTTGCTGACATTCAGCTGTGCACTGCTTGCAAGCCTTCTTGGACAAAAAGGTTTGGACTAATCAGATCTTGGTGCTTTAGCCCAGGCTATGTCCTGCCTTTATCACTATCAGCCGGTAAAGGGCATTCAGTGCTTAGAAAGTCTTTAAGCTTCTGTGTGATTGGATTTGTGGTTTTGTCACCCGATTATCCGTTGCACTGTCAGCGAGGTGTTTTGATCAGCCAATCTAGTCCATGCTCCCTCCCAACACTGGATCTGCTGAGACAAGACATACTGCGCATTTCTATACTACCCACACTGCCCAGCAGTCTCACTCATGTCATGAGGAGCACAGTCACCTCCAGAAATCTTCCTAAAGCTTCCAGAGAGGAACCTACCATACCTAGTACAGTTCAAATGCCTCTCTTTGGGCCACGGGAGGCACCTCGCGGGACTGTATTGCTCTGGTCTACCCAGCCGTTGCACACACAGAGCTATTGGCCACACACTGGATTTCATTTAGGGAGGCTTCCAAATTCTTCCTGTATTGGCCCGAGGCCCCAGCTTCACGTGCCAAACTGCTCTAAACCCAGGGATCCAGCCCAAAACACACCTGACTCTGGAGTATCGTGGGACACCGAGGTGGCTACAAGCACCTTTGCACTCCCTGTCCTGAGCTGTTCTGTGTGCTGTCAGCCGCAGGGCACAGGCCAGGCCATTGTCTTTTATATGTTGGTTCCCCACCTCCACATCCCTCACATTTGTATCTCGTCCTTTGCAAGGCTTTTGGGTACCAGGCTTAGGGGGACCTTAGGGGTTAGACCAATGAGCCTTCCAGCCTCTTTGGGCAGCTGCACCAAATGTCCAGTCTAGGACCTTGGCAGTGTCTACTGTCTCCTGTTCAGCTGCATGTGCGCTAACCTGCCAGAGACTTTGGGCTGCTACAGAATTGATGGCCACAGCAGGGAGCAGTACCCGCATCACGCAGGTGGAACTGTGCACAGCTCAATGAGAGGTAGGCAGTGGGCTGCACCATGGCCTCATTCTGATGGTAGAGAACCTCAAGGAGGCTGGTGTGTCAGCAACCAAAGCTCGGCCCATCCCACTGCCCACCCAGCTCTTTTAGAGGCATCCAGACCCAGACCTATTTCACTTGCAGCCTCACATACAAAGTTGCACCAAGACTTGCACCAAGCACATGGACCACGAACCAGTTACATTTATATCAGGCACTGGATGAATTGCCCTGATGCATGGTATTAGTACCAGGAGGTAAGGTTGAACAGGGTTCAACAAAAAACTAGATAAATTCATGGAAGTTAGGTCCATCAATGGCTATTAGCCAGGCTTGGGTAGGACAATGTCCCTCATAAAAGGCTCTTAAGCAAAGTAAGTTGTCATGGGATAAGAGGGAAGGTCCTCCCGTGGACTGGTAACTGGTTAAAAGACAGGAAACAAGGGGTAGCAATAAATGGTAAAGTTTCAGAATGGAGAGAGGTAATGAGTGGGGTTCCCCAAGAGACCCTACTGGGACCCAACCTATTCAACCTATTTATAAATGATCTGGCGAAAGGGATAAATGGTGAGGTGGCAAAATTTGCAGATGACACTAAACTGCTCAAGATAGTGAAGAACAAAGCAGACTATGAAGAGATTCAAAAAGATCTTCCCAGAACTAAGTGATTGGGCAACAAAATGGCACATGAAATTTGATGTTGATAAATGTAAAGTAATGCACATTGGAAAAAATAATCCCAACTGTACATACGCTATGATGGGGACTAATTTAGCTACAACTACTCAAGAGAGAGATCTTGCATTCATTGTGGATATTTCTCTGAAAACTTCCACTCAGGCTAGGGCTACACTACGCACTTTGCTGGAAAAGGCAATGCAAATGAAGTGCAGATTAGCATTTTGTCGCACTTCATTTGCATAATTTATTCCGAGCCGTTTTTGCACAAGGGGGTTTTGTGCAAAAACAAGCAGTGTGGATGTTTCCTTGTGCAAAAACCCCTTTTTGTGCAAGATCCTTATGCCTCCGCCAGGGTTTTTGTGCAAAACAGACACGGCCACACTGCTTGTTTTTGCGCAAAAACTCCTAGCACAAAAACGGCGTGGAATAAATTATGCAAATGAAGTGTGACAAAATGCTAATCTGCACTTCATTTGTATTGCCTTGTCCGGCAAAGTGCCGGACAAAGCCTCAGTGTGCAGCGGCTGTCAAAAAAGCTAACAGAATGTAAGGGATAGAGAATAAGACAGAACATCTTATTGCCTCTACATAAATCTATGGTTCACCCACATCTTAAATACTGCGCACAAATGTGGTCACCTCATCTCAAAAAAGATATATTGGCATTGGAAAAGGTTCAGAGAAGGGCAACAAAAAGGATTAGTGGTTTGGAATGGGTCCCATATGAAAAGAGATTAAAAAGATTTGGACTTTTCAGCTTAAAAAAGAGGAGACTAAGGGGGGATAAGATAGAGGTCTATAAAATCATGACTGGTGTTAAAAAAGTGAATAAAGAATAAAGTGTTATTTACTTGCTCCCATAACATAAGAACAAGAAGTCACCAAATGAAATGAATAGGTAGCAGGTTTAAAACAAACAAAAGGAAGTTTTTCTTCACACAGTGCACAGTTAACCTGTGGAACTCCTTGACAGAGGATGTTGTGAAGACTAGGACTTTAACAGGGTTCAAAAAAGAACTAGATAAATTCATGGAGTTTAGGTCCATCAATGGCTATTAGCCAGGATGGGTAGGAATGGTATCCCTAATCTCTGTTTGTCAGAGGCTGGAAATGAATGACAGGAGAGGGATCACGTGATGATTCCCTGTTCTGTTTACTCCCTCTGGAGCATCTGGCATTGGCCACTGCTGGAGGACAGGATGCTGGGCTGGATGGACCTTTAGCCCGACCCAATATGGACATTCTTATGTTCTTACGTACTTATTCTAAATAAATGCAACTTTGGGGGTGATAGGTAGTCTGTGACATGGGGTTGAAAGATGAGAGTTGTGTTCCTGACTCTGCCACAGACTTTCTGTGTGAACTTGGGTAAATAAGTAAGCCTCTGTGCCTCAGTTTCCCGATTTGTAAAGCTGGAACAATGATGCCCTTCACACAGGGGCAGGAAGATTTGAGGATGAATTAGTAACACTTGCAAAGTGCTTCCATATCCTCACATGGAAAACATTAGGACAGAGCAAAGTATAAAGTATATAAAATACACTGGCCAACAGTTTCAACTCCATGGCAATGTTTACACTGTCGGGTTCTTGTGCAAGAACGGCTGTTTTTCCGCAGAGCATCCACACTCCCCGCCCGCTCTTGTGCAAGAAGATTTACAGTAAAGCATGGTAAGAGAGGGCTTCTTGTGCAAGAGCTATGCTCTTTTCTAACAAGTGTAAGCTCTCTTGTGCAAGAGCTCTTGCGCAAGATGGCAGTGTGGACATGTGGCAGGGGTTTCTTGCACAAGAAACCCCTATGGCTAAAATGGTCATCAGAGCTTTCTTGTGCAAGAGAGCGTCCACACTGCCATGGATGCTCTTGCGCAAATGCACATGGCAGTGTAGATATGTTCATGCGCAAGAGTTCTTGCACAAGAACCCTTGTGCAAGATGTTTTTGTGCAAGAACCACCATTGTAAACATTCCATGTGTTCAGTGTTAAACCCCTCAAGCTCATATTTAAAGTCCCAATTTTCAAAGGTGCTGAACAGTCACAACTCTCCATTGACTGCCAGAAGAGTTGTGTGGTGCTCAGGATCTGAAATGTGAATTTAGGAGTTTAATTTTAGATATGCAGATTTTGAAAATGTTCAGCATCATGACTTAAATAGGGCACTCTAATGTGACACTTAACACAACTTTTGAATTAAAAACAAACAATTGTTTTCTTATGCTGAAACCAAACCTTTACACAACTAGTATTTTTAATTAGAACCTTCAAGTAGCAGAACCAACAATTAATTATTGATGAGCTCGACACTTTAATTTTTCTTTTTAACATAAAACAAGTAAAAGCCTGTGCCCCTTGTTGTCAGACGCACTCTCTCTCTCTCTCTCTCTGCCCCATGTTGCTGAGAGGGTATTAAACCCCAGAAGGGACTGACCTGCGACCGAGGACAATTGCTCCATTCCCCTTTCCTAATCACCGAGCCCTTAAGAATGACCTAGGCACTGACAAGAGAAGCAGAGTGTACAGCAGGAGCCAGCATGCATGAACAGCAGGTACTGTCTGGTGTGATGCCAGCTCTGCCCACTACGTCTCTGGCACAGCCATTTAATTGCTCCCCATCGTTACCTGCCAATAGCCCCCAGGTGCTTTGTGTTTCTATAGCACCTGCAAATCCAGGCTCTCCAAACATTGAGGAATTACATCCTACTGCCCTCCCCCATGAGATAGGTGAGTGAGACGATTATCCTTGTTTTCCAGATGGGGAGTTGAGGATTCATGAAGGGGGGAAGTGACGCGCCCAAGGTCACATGGTGAATGTGTCAAAACCAGAAATGGAATGTAAGGATTCTACTCCCAGAGTTGTCCTGTAACCACTAGACCATGCTTCCTCCCTATATGTGGAAGAGGCTTCCACACAAGCTAACAGAGAGCCATTGCCAGCTCAAAGTCCATTTCAGAGGCCAGAGTGGAAGACGATTCCTGTGATAATAAGCATTAGTGTGCAGGGACAAGCCTCTTCCTAAAAAACAACCATTTGGGTTCTGATGGAAGCAGCAAGCTCGACAGCCCAGGAGACAGATATAATCTATTCACCAAACACGTACAGCAAGCACAGCGGCAGAGCAGCTTTCCCCACATAGCACCCTCCATCGGTGTAGCTCGACCCTGACTACAGGAGCTGCATCTCGGGCAAAGGGCCTAAATCATTCCATCAGGCTCATTCAATGCTTGACCTCTCAGCTGAGGAGGCTGCCAAGAAGGAGGGGCTTCATACCAGTTGCTATGGTGATTTTTATCACCTGGAAACCTGATCTGCTAGGAATTAAGACCCACCAACCCCTTCCCTGCAAGAGAAAACAAAGAGCTGTCAGAAGGTAATTACTTTCATCCCAACTGATTTGGGCTGGATTTAAACTGATAACCAAGCTGTGAAGGGTTTCCTAAGCAAAGCAGTCCCCTGAATCTCCAGGGCAGCCTCTGAGAAACTGCCTCTCAGAGCCTGCAAGGTTCTGCCACTGGATCCAGCTCCCTTACCTCACTTGACTATTTCTTAAAAAGAAATCACAGGCCTGGGTCCCAGATGCACACAGCTGTATGAGAGCCACCAACAATACACGTGAATCCTGAAGACCGAGGGCAAAACCCTGGCCCCACTGGAGTCAAGGGGAGTGTTGCCATTGACCTCAGTAGACCAAACACTTACCCCTGGATTCTGAGGGGGAACATCAATTAATGGAAGAAGGTCACCGGGCTGAATTTATACTTGGAGTAACTGACCTAGCTGGGCTACACAGGCATGAATCTGGTTGTTTGGCTAGTGCAGGTTACCCTGCTTCCCTCCTCAACACGGTCAGCTTGTTTCTGGCAGGTGACAGGAGTCTGACTTCTTCTCTGGCCATGGTGCTGAATGAGGAGGCTCTGCCCAAACCTACAACAAAGACCTGGAATGGGGGCTAGAGCAGGTGGCCAGGCAGCGCCTGGAGGTACTTCTACCATCCAGCATCTGTCTGCCCAGAAATGTGAAGGTTTTTTTTATTGTTCCAGACACCTTAATTACAAGAAAAGCCTTTTCAAATTAAAAGCCTATTTTGCAACAGTGAAGGTTCAACAGATGTTCCCCACCTCTTAGGGCTCACCCCTAGAATTCCACTGTAATAGTCAATATTCAAAAACCCTGGCAGGAAGGTGGTGGGCCTGTAATTTGTCAGGGAGACCAGGAATTGGAAACAGCTTTACTCCTAGAGGACTTTTAACAACACCTGGAAATTTCCTATAAGAAAGAGGGTCTGAGGCATATTTCAATATCTGGCATGGATCAGCTTTCTCCAGCATGCTGTGTCCATTACACTTCCATGTACATTACTCTTCTCTGTAAGAGTTAGCAGGCTGTCTTGCTAGTTAATCCCTAGTTACTGGGAACTGTTTCCAGGGTGCTATTTTGCAAGTGACTTTTAAAAAATCAAATTGGGATTTCAATCCATCGTATGAAATTTTGCTCTGTGACTTTAAAGGTACCACGCAGCATTCATGGAGTCCCACCAGTTTTGGCAGAGGTAGGGCTAGCCCCGGATTGGCTGTAGAAAATCCTGTGTGAGTGGCTAGTTAACAGTTTCTCTCCCAGTGTTGGGAGGCAAATGAGAAAAGTACTAGATAAGGGTACAACTAGCAACTCCCCAAAAGGGACATTGCACCACAGGGATGGAAAGAAAGAGGGGAGTCAGACTGTTCACCCTAAAAACTCATCTGTGCTCATGCAAAATATGCACCTTAGTCACCCATCACAAGAGGAAGAGTGGGAAGAAAGGGTGAACATTTGTAGACATCCCGCTGCACCGTGTGCCCTAGAATTTCTCTGTGCACACACAGAAGTCCCCCTCCCCCAACTCTGAATGTGCTTTGGGTGAAGGGAGAACATTCTGCTCTCACACAAAACCCAGGGCCCTGGCATCTTGAAAACTTTAGGTTCACCTTCTCTGCTATGAATAATTCAGCTCCCATATATAATGAATGTAAGGAGAACAGCCGCGACTGTTCGTGACTATGAAAATCAGGGCAGGTTTCTGGAACAGCAGCTGCAATCCCAAGCTCTAGAATAGAACATCCACTATTGACTAGAGAATCGGATTGATTAGTATTTGTTACCCAAAGCCAGGCCTGGCAACCCTGCAGAGACTCAGAGAGCCAAGGGAACAGGATTTCAATAGCATTGCTGCTGCATCAGGAGCAAATGCATTGTTTGGCACAGTCCTGAGCCCTCTATTCAACTCCATGGATAGATTCTGTACTAAGATCTATAGAAGCGAAAAAGTGACCATCGTACGTGTGGCTATCGTCTCCTCCCTCCCCACCAGGGTAGTCCTAGCTAGCAAGATTTCAGTGTATTTGCCTTTGTCTGCACTTCTCCCTCTCATGTGAGATGCAGGTGTTACACAAAGCAGGCAGCTAAATCAGAAACATCTCCCTGCACAAAATGTGACCCCAAATCAAAGGCAGAACGACAGTGACTCCCTCTCCTGCCTCCTAAACAGATTCTGTCAAAATGCAAAAATGCAGGCATGACACACACCAATATTTAGACATCCTGCTCCCTTTTCCATCCCTGAAGATTAGCCAAGCTGCTCAACCTACAAAGCACCCATCCAAGCCATTCTTCCCAGGCAGGGATATGCCCTGGATGTTGGAGGTGATTCTTCCCTGGGAATCCAGCAGAGCATTTACCTTTTGGGAGCTGAAGGACTGGGTCCAGTGATACAAAACCAGCCTGTCCTTGGATCTGAGAGCGAGGTCTGCCGGGTCCTGGCTGTCCTCAACCTCCGCAGATTTCCCTGCATCATTCTCAAGAGCTGAAATGGGCCACCAGCTGCAGTTGGTGGGAGTAACATTGTTGGGAGTCGCCATGACAGCCTGAGATTGGAAGAACAGGGGAAGGAGAGAGCAGCAGCAGCTGCTCGATCCAAGCATCACATGGCTCATGGAAACAGCATCACTGCTGGAGCAAGTGGACTTGAATTTCATTACACGCTGTGTATTAGGCTGGAGAATGCAGGGCAGCAGAATCGGGTCTGATTTTACAAAAGACGGGGACTGAGTGTGTTAAATCATTACCCCTTTACATGCCGGTCAGAATTCCCACTGAAACACGTTACACCGGGCTTGCATTATGTCACCAGAAGAGATCAAAAACAGTCTCTGCTGCCTCTGCCCCAACTCAGGAGTCGTCGTGAAACTCCCTCCCCCTCCCCCTCCCCCGATTGGGAATAGCTTTGCAATCAATGCTAAGATTTGGACCACTTTATATTTGATAGTCATTGAATAAATTGGTTCATAAATAAATGCTCTATGTAAAATATCCAGCAGGTGCTTTCCTTCCCACAGCTCTGTATGGAACAAAGAAGCAAGGATTCTTCAAATAGGCTCACGTTTGTGTGTGTTCCAATTCATTATTCATTAATTATTATCATTCATTTTTATTGCAGCAACTCCTACGAGTCCCAGTGGCCGACCATGATCCCATGGTGCAGCTAGATGTTGTGGCAGCACAGAGCAAACAGGCAGCACCTGCTCAAAGAGCTCACAACTGTGGATTACAATGATTTTATTTATTGAAAAAAGGGCTCAGATTTTCAAAAGTGGAAATACACCTTTCCGATGCAACTATTGTAATTGTGCAGGCAGGCAGAGTCAATGTTCATGCAAATGATTAGCTGGGCATCTAAGGGCCTTCTGTAGGTACAACTGTTTTGACTCTGAGTACTTTCACAGTATGCAGGGGTACAAATTGGCTGTGCACGTTCACACATAGTTTTGGCCACATAAGGAACACACAGGTCTGGCAGTGAGGGCCTATATGCCTCACTGTAGCTTAATCTCACAAAGCTTCCTGACAGTGTGCTTTGTCACCTGTGCCACTGAAACAGTCTCTCAAGAAACATGCTGGAAGCCCTACTCAAGACTAGACTGGTTAAAGCCAGAGAAAATAAAATGAGTCCTGTACTGGCTGGAGGATGAACTCAGTCACTGGGGGAGTCTAAGGGTACGTCTAGACTACATGCCTCTGTCGCCAGAGGCATGTAGATTAGGCTACCAGACATAGGAAAATGAAGCGGCAATTTAAATAATCGCCGCTTCATTTAAATTTACATGGCTGCCGCGCTGAGCCGACAAACAGCTGATCAGCTGTTTGTCGGCTCAGCGCGGCAGCCATGTAAATTAAAATGAAGCGGCAATTATTTAAATCGCCGCTTCATTTTCCTATGTCTGGTAGCTTAATCTACATGCCTCTGGCGACAGAGGCATGTAGTCTAGACGTACCCTAAGGCTATGTCTACATTGCAGAACTTTTCCGGGATATGAGAGGTCTCCTGGAAAAGCTCTGCTGCATCCAAGGAACGCGTCCGCTTTTTTGGAACAGTTTCCGAAAAAGCAGACGCATTCTGTCGCCATCCCTGTATTCCTCATTGCATGAGGAATAAGGGATGTTCCAAAAGAAGAGGTTTTTCTGAAATTTGGCCCCATGTAGACGGGCCAAATTTCAGAAAAGCCTATTCCGAAAAAAAAGCGGAAAAAGATACACAAATCGTGGTTCACAATGTGTGTATCTTTTTCCAGCTTTTCTTTCCAGCCTAGACATAGCCTAAGTCTGTGTCCACACACGATGCACATACAGAATGTGCTGATGCAGATTGGCACCTGTGGAAATCTGCATGTTTTACAAGTAGGTAACTAATTGTGTCTAGCGGCTGGCAGAGACATCTTAAAGTGGTTTCAGGGTACATCTTAAAGTGGTTTCCATCCTATACAGGATTTACTGTTTGGTTTAATGACTCTTAGCACCCCCATTATACAAACTGTGCCAGCACCCTCGGATGCTGGTTTGTGTGCACAAGGGCTGGACGTGGAGTGCACAAAACGACAGCCCTTCATATGTTGCTGTGGCATTTTCAGAGCCCGGTCCCCATATGTCTTACCCAACTCCAGCTTCTTTAGCCCCCTGACTTTGTCCCTAATGCTACAAAAATAGAACTAACTCTCTGAGAGGAGGGTTCATTGGAGGGGGACTGACATTTCTTGACTTGTGCCCCTGTTTTAGAGCATTTAATGGGAGCTTCCACGTCATTCATTTTGCACAGGCATTGGCTACACTGGTGTGCATGGTAGGGATGTAAAATCCTGGTTAACTGGTTAAACATGGGAGAGAAAAGGGCAGCCTGAAGCAAGCCTCCCGCCACAGATAGGGTACGCTCTGGCCAGCCTGGAGTTCCCTGCCAGCTGGGGGAGAGGGAGAGGAGGGCGCTCGCCCCTACTGGTTAGCTGGTTGACCATTTACATCCCCAGTGCAAGGTGGGTCTGGCCTTCACAAATAGGATTGCCAGGTGTCCGGTTTTGAACCAGACAGTCCAGTATTTGAGCTTTCTGTTTGGGAAATAAATTGTGAAAATATAAATGAGAAAATTATAAATGTCCGGTATTTTCTAAATAAGATGTAATGTAGATTGTGATGTAACATCAAGTGTGTCTGGTATTTTTGTTGAAACCATCTGGCAACGCTATCCCCAAATAGATTTTTAAAGGAGCTAGATTTGCTTCAAAACCATTTATTGTGGGGTGATGGGAGGCTAATGGAGTGAACATGAATCAGCCTCTTCCCTTCATGTTATAATTCCCTAGGACATTGTGTCCTTTATCCTCCTCAGTCTCAGATTCACTCTCCACAGCAAGGGCTTGCAAAGTGTAGCCGGAGGCCTCTGTGCAGCCTGTGAAGATGTAACAGAAAAAGCTGTTCAGCTGTGGCGTTTATAACTTGGGAACTCAAGCAGCGGGCGATTTCTACTCAACTGCCAAGAGAGATCCAGCCTGCAGCCCCACCATATGACAGATACAGATGTACAATCCGGGTCCTGCCCTTGGGTGGCTGGCAAGTTGCTGATGTGGCCTCTCTGTCATAAACTTTGGGCACTCCTGATCTGCTGCTTACCCAGAAGCACAGTTTGCAGTGCAAAGAAAGGCAATGCTGCCGCTCCCAGCTCATCCTTCCTTTGGATTTAACATTCTCTATCCTCTAGAGCTGGGGGGAAGGGGACCTCAGGCCTGGCTCTGTCCCCCACGGCTCAGGGCTTCCCCCAAGCATTAGAGAGTCCGCACTAGCGCTCCAACCCCCCTGCCATCCCACGGCAGGCCTGGAGCACACAAAATCTACTCGCCTGGGCTCCCCGAGACCCTGGCGTGCTACGGAAATGTAGGGAACGTCTTTCTCCTTCTCAGTTGGGGCCACACCAGTGCGGGTTTTTTTTTGGTTTGCTTCTGTGTCTCACTTGTGCACTGCTGCCAACTGATTTTTCTGCGGGTCTGCGGCCCCGACCCGAAAGAGGTTCCCAGCCCCTGCTCTAGAGAAGAGGTGTTTTCATTGCCCATGAAGCCTCTTCCCAGCCCCCTTTATATTAATAACTCTCACTGACAATGGCGCGGCTGTTTTGGGCTTCGAACAAGAGAAAATAAGGAGCGAGCGCATCTCAGCCTAAAGCTCTCAGACAAAATCATTGTCCAACTAGCACCATCTAGTGGGCTATTTGATTTCATACTCTTGTACCATTAGGAATAAAAATGACAATCTCTGTAGTTTTCCAAATTTTGCAGATTTTCACCCCTTCGGGAGTGCGTACTTGGCTTGCGGCCACACTGGGTGTAGCCTAACAAACCAAGAAGAGAACTAAGTGGCAGAATTGCTGGGGTCTATTCCTGGCTCTGACACTGACATTGTATGACCTTGGGAAAGTTTCTGCCCCTCCCTTTCCTGTCCTCAGTTTCCCCATGTGTAAAAGGGGAGGAGGAGGAACAGACCTACCCCACCGGCTGGCTTGCTGATGGGGGACAAAGGAGGCAGTTGCCCCAGGGCTCCCAGCCGCTACTGATGCTACTATGGCAGCAGCAGTGCCTGGTGCTCCAGGCCCTTTCAATCACTGCCCAAGCACCACACCCCATGCTCTGGGCAACACTAAGGGCTGCCTGGGGGCTGGTGTGACACACTCCAGGCAGCACTGAGAGCTAGCTGGTCCCAGACCCACCACTTCTGCCCAAGGTTCCACCCCCTTCTGGGAATGCAGAGCTGGGCTCTCCCCCTTCTCTCCTCCCCCTCCCCCACACACCTTGCCTATGGGTCTGTGGAGGAAATGGAAAGCATCAAATTGCAGGCACCATGGCTCAATTTTTAAAAAATAGTGGGGATCAGCTGCTTCAATTTTTCCATCTGAGCCAGTCTTTGCCAACATGCATCTTACAGACTCAAACAGGGGGCCCAAGTGGTTGTCTAGTCCATGCCCGATGCCAGGGCAGGATTAACGGTATCTAACCCACTCCTGCCAGGTGTTGTCTAACCCATTCTGAGTGAGGGATCCATCCCTCCCACTTTGAAAAGAAAAGTAGTTTAGTGAACCAGGCTGTCTCTTTGCCCCAGAGGAGTCATTCCTGAGGCTGGAAAGTGAATGTATTTGATGGCTTTTGTCTCACAGCTCTTTTCATTCTAAGTCAGCTGGGGCAGGAAGTGCTGGGACACTGTGAGGGAATCCATCGGGATTAGTAGCAGTAAATGATTCTATTATGGCAGTGCCCAAAGGCCACAAGTGGAATCAGGCACCTATTGTACAGCTGTAGCAATCCCTGCCTTGAACAACCAAAACCATGCAAAGGGATGGGGATATAACATGAAGCAAATGAACATCGGCCCAGCTTTGGTAGCTGTTTTGTAATGATTTTTACCTGGAGCTAGAAGAAGAGTGAGGAGCAGCAGGAAAGGAGGAGCTAGTAAGAACGAGATAGTATAAAAAACAAAGGAAAGGGAAGATGGGCAGTAACAACTCACTTGCCTAGTCACAACCAGCTAACAGGGTTTCATAGGCACTATGGCAGAGGTGAGGCTTATGAATTATATCTGGGAGTTTTCCTCAGGCAATATGGAACATAAGAATGGCCCTACTGGGTCAGACCAATGGTTCAGATAGCTCAGTATCCTGTCTTCTGGCAATGACCAATACCAGATGCCCCAGAGGAAATTAACAGAACAGGGAATCTTCAAGTGATC